GCTGATTTTATTTTCCCTTCAAAATCCTGGATTCTACCAGGGCTGAAGGACACAGCCAGGGATCTCAAACGCTCGGCCCTGCTGGGGCTTGGCCCTGAGTAGTCACACAGGTCTGCCCACTTGCTGTCCGCTCCTGTCTTGGGGAAGGTAGGGCTGCCAGGAGGGGCCAGGGCTTTCCCTGCCTCAGGCACCAGCTTCTCTGACCTCACCCTGGGACCTAGCCAACCTCCCAGGACAGTCTGAGCAAGCTCAGAGGCAGGGGCTTGGAAAAGACAACCCCCAGGCCTGTCCATGCATCTGTTCCCAGACTGTCCTGAACCCAGGGCTCTGGATGTGTCATTTCTTTGGCTCCAATCCCAAGAGATAGCCAGGAACCTTCCTGGTGGAGAGGGTGCTGGGTTGGTCTTCCCTACGCAACTTGCCCGGTCTGCATAGAGAGGTCTCTGAGGCCCAGGGGGCCTCCAGTGTCACCAGAAGGTAGAGTTCCCATCCTCTGAAAGCCCCTCCCCATCCCAGGGAGAAGACAGCCCTGTCTCATGAGAGTTAGAGGAGGGGGAGATACCTCTGCCTTTCGGAGGACCTAGTCTGAGGAGGAAAAGGAGTCCAAGCCAACCCAGAGGGGCCACCACTGTTGCTAGGCAGCCCAGGGAGCCCCACCAACTAGCCACAGAGATGTCCACAGACCCCAGAGCTTGTCCTGGGGGAGAATTGCATGGAGAGGACTCAAGATAGGGACACTATCATTTCCCTTTCTACAGAGACCATTGAGATGAGGTGGTGGTGGGCAGGGATGAGGCCCTGGCTGCGGTGAGCCTCTGACTCCCTGGGAAGCGGAGGGTTTGGTCCTGCCTTCAAGGAGCTGCTGTCCACATGGGAGAGGCAGCCCTGCCTGCCTGCTCAGAAAGGAGTCCCAGCGAAGAAATGGGTCCTGCATGGTGGGTGGCGGTAGCCTCCAGAACCTAACGCATCTTGTGGCCCTAGATCCACGATGTCCAGTCCCCTGGAGCAAGCACTGTGTGTGATCGTCACCACCTTCCACAAGTACTCAGGCAGAGAAGGCAACAAGTTCAAGCTGAGCAAAGGGGAGATGAAGGAACTTCTGCACAAGGAGCTGCCCAGCTTTGTAGGGGTGAGTGGGACAGGCCTGGGTGGGAGAACCCCCTCAGGGCTTGGGATGTGGAGATGGAGCCCTGAATATATCTCTTCTCGACCTCCCCTCCTCACCCTCATGTGGATGCAGACACCAGGGTGAGACCAAGACCTCTCTCCAATCACCTTCTGTTCCATGACCCCATGGTAGTGGGTGTGAAGGGCCAGGAATCAGTGGTTCTGCTAATGACTCTTCTCTGTGGCTTTCTAGAGAATCGAGGTGCTGGTAGGGTCCTCAAAGTCCACCTGTCTAATCTCACTGTTATCTTGAGCAATCCAGAACTCAGAGAGGTGAAATAGTTACCCTAAGGGCACACAGCTTGCTCTTTCTCTGTCTTCTCCTAGTTAGGTGCCGAGTCAAGGCATGTAGGGCGAGGGGGGTGGGAAGGAATTCCAGTTACGATGTGCACTGTGACAATTTTGAAGAAAGATGCAGTCAACTCTCCATTTGACTCTCACCACACCAATGCATTCATAATCCCAAAGTCGGGGCTCAGGCTTGGAGCCCAGGAGGCTTGTCATTCTTTGCTTAAAGTCGTATTTTGCTTAAAGTCTTCTAATGCGGTTTCATTTTAGCTTGTGTTAAAAAGTTTGCCTTTTCATTGGAAATCATAAAATCGAAGATCGGAGGAGGGAATGGTATTAGAGCATAATCATGAACACCCAGTGTTCCAAGGGCTATAGATGACAGTGAAAGCCTAAATCCATTTGCAGGGTCCCCACAGGGATTAAGCCTCTGACGAATTCCCTCTGACCACAGACCTGTGATGTGAACGACCTTGCCCTCAGACAGAGTACAGTGGAAAATATATTACTGCAGGTGTCCTTTAGGCTAAAAATATACACCTTATCATTTGAGCTCCCTTTTGACCCATTTAAAATTTGTACTAGTCTTTAGCATTTTCTGCTTTCTTTTCTATTAAGGTTTTTCTCTGTTTTATTTTGTTATTGTTGTTTTGTATTTTCATTTTGGTATATGAGATCCAGGATAAGTAAATCTCTAGACAGCAACTGGATCCATAGTTTCTTAGGGGTACTGCAGGGGAGGTTGGAGGAAATAGGGGCCTAAGAACAATGAGTACACGAAAAAAGAAAATGTTCTAAAACCTATTGCGGTGACGATCAAACAACTCTTTTTAATATGACTTAAATATAGAATTGTATGATATGTAAATTGTATATCAACAATGCTGTTTTAAAAGTTTGCCTTTCGATACATGCCACAATATGGGTGAACCTCAGAAACATTGGGCTGAGCAAAAGAAATTAATTTCGAAAGGACAACTACTGTAAGATCTCACTTCTATGAGATAAGCAAATATGAGGGAGGGAGAAGGGAGGTGGGGAAACTTTGACTGAGGGCCATTGAATGCATGTGAATGAATGGTGGCGGAATATTTTTCGAAAAGGATAACGATGATGGTGGTACACATGGCAAAGTATAGCCAGTGCCGTTGAATTGTGAGTGTGGAAGTTGTATTGGTGCATGTTTCGGTGGATACAGCCTCACCACAATGCAGCACATGCTCTCATAGAGCTTGTCTTTGCTGATTTCACCCTGCTGGTGAGGGGGGCCATGGAGACCCCAGAAAACTAGTTCTCTCATCAGTGTAGTGGAAGGAATGATACCTATTCCTTAGAGTCCTACGAAGACTGGAGCTGATATTGAACTTGGGGAAGTGCCCGGCATGCTCCCCACACCCAGCAAGGTAGGGTCGGACACTCTCACCAATGAATGTCTACATGGCCCTACTCACTCAGCCTTTTAGTAGTAGCTCCTTGGGGCACCTTGCCCACCGCTTACCCAACAGTCCAGTGGAGAGGGAGCTGGACACTGGCCAGTGTCTGTGGGTGTTTGGGGCCTAGGGGCAGGGGCGAGGGCTGGCTTGATGACCATGTTCTCTCGTGCTCCAGGAGGAGGTTGATGAGGAGGGACTGAAGAAGCTGATGGGCAACCTTGATGAGAACAGCGATCAGGAGGTGGACTTCCAGGAATACTCCGTGTTTTTGGCCCTCATCTCTATGATGTGCAATGACTTCTTCCAGGAGCAGCCCTGAAGCAGCACTTGGCTCCCTGACCATGGGTCTTTTGGGCCCAAGAGGACTCTCTCACCATTCAGTTTTGTACTCAATAAATAAACACCCCTTTTGAAGATAATGCGGAGTGACGTGGCGTAGCCTCGCTGGCTCAGTTGGAATGCTAGCGCAATAAACGGCTGCTCGGTGTGGTTTCTTTTGGTCTTGAGACTTACCAACAGTACATCCAACAGACGATGGGGGAGACCAAGATAGACAACTGCCATAGACACGTCCCATCCATTAGAAAGAGGGAAGCATGCATTGGAGGTGCAAAGTGCCATCGGCCCACAGCAATTCTGAAATTGAGTTAGTGTCAGGGAAACCAGCCCCTAACAAATCATCACAGGGCTGGTAGGTGCGATTGTACAGTTATAATATATAAAGATTACAGTAACGTTATAGAGAATAAGAGAGATAGGAGAGAGAGTAAAATGAAGGAGTCAGACACATTTCATGGGAGCATCCTCACCTCAACCCTGATTGGTTGTCCACGTGGGGATGTGGAAGGTGGGAAGGGCAGGAGAGGGAGTGGGGAAGGAGGACTGGAGGAGAGGGGACAGATCTGGAGAGGGGAGAGGACTGGACAGAGGACCAGAGGAGAGGGGACCAGAGGAGAGAACGATTTATTTCTAACCAAGGCCTATATATCTTTTGGGGCGTGCAAGCTCCCTGATTACAGGTAAAGACATGTCACAGGAAGGGGTTGTACTATATACAGTAATGGGAGGGGGGGCAATCTAGGGGTATATATACACTAGGAAGGGAAGGGATTGGGGGTACACATGTGACAAGATGGGCGGATCCTAGATTCAGGCCAGCAGCCTAACTTTGGATGTCACTGAGCAGGTTTGACCTGTTCTAAGCTCTCCAGGGAAACAATCACTATATCCTATCAATAGGGTGTGAGCCCCACCTACAGTGGACCAGACAGCAGTCTGATTGTTCTGGATGGCTGAATGCCTTCAGGGAGATAACTTCACAATCATTTACCATTAGTTGCAAGTAGTGTGTCCTAGTTCTGAAATATATTTGGGGGAGACAAGCTGGGGGACAGCCTTTTTATATCCCACACGTTAGATACATACCACTAGATTCATTAGGGCCCAGTTCTGCTCTCTTATCAATGGTTCTCCGTGGCTCGGGGCTCCACAGTTAATGCTCTTACCTTTGTTTTCAGCGTTAACTGTTTTCTTTTATTAAGAACTAACTGGTCTGTAGCTGAGCATCTTTCTCAGCCTGCTTCCTGCCTACAGGAAACTGAAGATTCAAACACTTCTTTTTGTTTTGAGTCCCTTCTGTCCTTCCATCCAATACCTTTAGAAATGTCACAAGCTTCCTGCATATTAAATTACGAATCCACTTAACTAGACAAAAGGCATGCTGACAAATACCTTACAACTTGACCCTGCTACCTTAGACTGGGAATTGGGATTTTTTGGAGATAATCCCTTTAAGATTCTTTTTTTGTTGTTGCTATTTTTGTGCATTTCTTTTTTTTTAAATCATTTTATTAGGGGCTCATACAACTCTTATCACAATCCATACACACATCAATTATGTAACGCGCATTTGTACATTCATTGCCCTCATCATTCTCAAAACATTT